GAAACCACAGACGTCAAATGCGTAATGGATCGATTCTCGCCGAACAATTTTTTATATTTTAGCACCAAGAAATATTCGGAAAAGACCAATTCTTTTTTTTTCTCCAAAAATATTTCCTCACGATGAAAGCAAACGGTATATTCCTACTTACTTTAGCCAAATGTTTATGAGTGGTTTATGCCGAACATATACAACGGCATAAACATCTATGTTGGATGTTTATGCCGAACATACACAACGGCATAAACATCTAAATTGAATGTTTATGCCGAACATATACAACGGCATAAACATCTAAATTAAATGTTTTTGCCGAACATATACAACGGCATAAACATCTAAGTTGAATGTTTATGCCGAACATATACAACGGCATAAACACCTAAGTTGAATGTTTATGCCCAACATATACAACGGCATAAACATCTAAATTAAATGTTTATGCCGAACATATATAACGGCATAAACATCTAAATTGAATGTTTATGCCGAACATATACAACGGCATAAACATCTAAGTTGAATGATTATGCCGAACATATACAACGGCATAAACATCCAAGTTGAATATTTATTGATTGAGATCTGCCGAACATATACAACGGCATAAACATCCAAGTTGAATATTTATTGATTGAGATCACTTGTTCAGATCAATCCGGTATATTCATGAACATGTGGTACAGTGGTAGAGACCACTGGCGTCAAATCCGTAATGGTTCGATTCTCGCCGAACAATGTTTTATATTTTAGCACCAAGAAATATTCGGAAATTACCTATTCTTTTTTTTTCTCCAAAAATATTTCCTCAGGATGAAAGCAAACGGTATATTCCTACTTACTTTAGCCAAATGTTTATGAGTGGTTATATGCCGAAGACAGTCAACGGCAACGGTATATTCCTACTTACTTTAGCCAAATGTTTATGAGTGGTTATATGCCGAAGACAGTCAACGGCATGCATAACCATCCAAGTTGAATGTTTATGCCGAACATATACAACGGGCATAAACATCTAAGTTGAATGTTTATGCCGAACATATACAACGGCATAAACATCTAAATTGAATGTTTATGCCGAACATATACAACGGCATAAACATCTAAGTTGAATGTTTATGCCGAACATATACAACGGCATAAACATCTAAGTTAAATGTTTATGCCGAACATATACAACGGCATAAACATCTAAGTTAAATGTTTATGCCGAACATATACAACGGCAACGAACATGCGTAATGGATCGATTCTCGCCGAACAATTTTTATATTTTAACCCGAAGAAATATTCGGAAATTACTAATTCCTTTTTTTTTCAAAAAATATTTCCTCAGGAAGAAAGCAAACGGTATATTCCTACTTACTTTAGCCAAATGTTTATGCCGAACATATTCAACGCCATAAACATCTAAGTTGAACGGTTATGCAGAACGGAGTCAACGGCATAACCATCCAAGTAGAATGGTTATGCAGAAGACAGTCAACGGCATAACCATCCAAGTTGAGTGGTTATGCTGAAGACAGTCAACGGCATATACCATCCAAGTTGAATGGTTATGGCGAAAACAGTCAACGGCATAACCATCCAAGTTGAATGTTTATGCCGAACATATACAACGGCATAAACATCTAAGTTGGATGTTTATGCCGAACATACACAACGTAAATGTAAATTGAATGTTTATGCCGAACATATACAACGGCATAAACATCTAAGTTGAATGTTTATACCGAACATATACAACGGCATAAACATCCAAGTTGAATATTTATTGATTGAGATCACTCCGAACATATACAACGGCATAAACATCCAAGTTGAATATTTATTGATTGAGATCACTTGTTCAGATCAATCCGGTATGTTGATGAACATGTGGTACAGTGGTAGAAACCGCGGACGTCAAATGCGTAATGGATCGATTCTCGCCGAACAATTTTTGATATTTTAACACGAAGAAATGTTCAGAAATTACTAATTCTTTTTTTTTCTTAAAAAATATTTCCTCAGGATGAAAGCAAACGGTATATTCCTACTTACTTTAGCCAAATGTTTATGCCGAACATGTTCAACGCCATAAACATCTAAGTTGAACGGTTATGCAGAACGGATGCAGAACGGAGTCAACGGCATAACCATCCAAGTAGAATGGTTATGCCGTCAACAGTATAACCATCCAAGTTGAATGGTTATGCCAGTCAACGGCATAACCATCCAAGTTGAGTGGTTATGCTGAAGACAGTCAACGGCATATCCATCCAAGTTGAGTGGTTATGCTGAAGACAGTCAACGGCATATACCATCCATTTATATTTTAGCGCCAAGAAATATTCGGAAATTACTAATTCTTTTTTTTTAACCAAAAATACTTCTTCTGGATGAAAGCAAACGGTATATTCCTACTCACTTTAGCCAAATGTTCATGCCGAACATATACGACGGCATTAACATCCAAGTTGAAATTTAGTAATTGAGATCACTTGTTCAGATCAATCCGGTATGTTCATGAACACGTGGTACAGTGGTAGAAACCACAGACGTCAAATGCGTAATGGATCGATTCTCGCCGAACAATGTTTTATATTTTAGCACCAAGAAATATTCGGAAATTACTAATTCTTTTTTTTTCACCAAAAATACTTCCTCTGATGAAAGCAAACGGTATATTCCTACTTACTTTAGCCAAATGTTTATGAGTACCATCCAAGTTGAATGTTTATGCCGAACATATACAACGGCATAAACATCTAAGTTGAATGTTTATGCCGAGCATATACAACGGCATAAACATCTAAATTGAATGTTTATGCCGAACATATACAACGGCATAAACATCTAAGTTGAATGTTTATGCCCAACATATACAACGGCATAAACATCTAAATTAAATGTTTATGCCGAACATATAGCACCAAAAAATATAAATTGAATGTTTATGCCGAAACATATACAACGGCATAAACATCTAAGTTGAATGTTTATGCCGAACATATACAACGGCATAAACATCTAAGTTGAATGTTTATGCCGAACATATACAACGGCATAAACATCCAAGTTGAATATTTATTGATTGAGATCACTTGTTCAGATCAATCCGGTATATTCATGAACATGTGGTACAGTGGTAGAAATCACTGGCGTCAAATCCGTAATGGTTCGATTCTCGCCGAACAATGTTTTATATTTTAGCACCAAGAAATATTCGGAAATTACTAATTCTTTTCTTTTCACCAAAAATACTTCCTCTGATGAAAGCAAACGGTATATTCCTACTTACTTTAGGCAAATGTTTATGCCGAACATATACGACGGCATAAACATCCAAGTTGAAATTTATTGATTGAGATCACTTGTTCAGATCAATCCGGTATGTTCATGAACACGTGGTACAGTGGTAGAAACCACAAACGTCAAATGCGTAATGGATCGATTCTCGCCGAACAATTTTTTATATTTTAGCACCAAGAAATATTCGGAAATTACCTATTCTTTTTTTTTCTCCAAAAATATTTCCTCAGGATGAAAGCAAACGGTATATTCCTACTTACTTTAGCCAAATGTTTATGAGTTACTTTAGCCAAATATTTATGAGTGGTTATATGCCGAAGACAGTCAACGGCATAACCATCCAAGTTGAATGTTTATGCCGAACATATACAACGGCATAAACATCTAAGTTGAATGTTTATGCCGAACATATACAACGGCATAAACATCTAAATTGAATGTTTATGCCGAACATATACAACGGCATAAACATCTAAGTTGAATGTTTATGCCGAACATATACAACGGCATAAACATCCAAGTTGAATGTTTATGCCGAACATATACAACGGCATAAACATCCAAGTTGAATATTTATTGATTGAGTCACTTGTTCAGATCAATCCGGTATGTTCATGAACACGTGGTACAGTGGTAGAAACCGCAGACGTCAAATGCGTAATGGATCGATTCTCGCCGAACAATTTTTTATATTTTAACACGAAGAAATTCCCTGCTTGTCACAAGTTGTCAACAGGTTTGGAACAACTTGTTGACAACTTATAACAACCTTGTCGAAATTATCAGACTTGTTGCAAGGTTGTTCTGACAAGTCTGTTACATGCTTGATATAACAAGATTGTTACAACCTCGTGTTGACAACCTTGTAACATCCTTGTTATATCATGGCTGTAACAAACTTGTTAGCACAATCTTGTAACAAGGCTGATAATGCCATCAAGCTTGTTACAAGTTGTTAACAGCTTGTTTCAAACTTGTACAACAAACTGGGAACAAGTAGTGCGAGCACAACTTGTTGACAGCTTGTGAACAGACGTGTAACAACTTGTTTGCAGACTTGTTACAACTTGTGCATTTTTACGTGTGTAGTTTGGAACAAGGCTCTTTGACAAGGGCAAATTGTTCATTTTTGCCGTGCACACGAGCAAATAAAACTTGTGAAGGAAAACTTGCTCGTCTGTAGCTTTATCATAGAAACGTTTTCGATCCGTAATTCTGTTGCCGTGCAAAAGTTCAAGCAATGGACTATCATTGGACTAGTACCCCAATTCGATTCACACCGTGGCCAAGCAATTAACTTTTCAGCTTGCCTGGTGTGGATGCACACTCAGAGTAACATCACAAACATCTGAAAATTCATAACATTTAAGAAATTAAAAAAATGAATAATTATAAAATCCCATGGGAGTTTCAGACGGCGTGCTTGCTCTGTTCATGACGACAAACAACATATTTGTATACGTTGTCGACGTCTGCATTTCAAACTGAAAGATATATGCTACTTGGCAGTCTTAACCTATATGCTCTGTTTTAAACTCTGGTTTCTGGATGTTTGGCAATAAACGACAGGCAGTTTTCTTTACAATCATTTCCTTATTTGAATGAGTATGTGCTGGCCTTTGTCGTCACGTTGCCGTCCATGTAAGGTTATATCTCGTTAGATTTATACAGCACACCGAGCAGCACCGGGGAATATTGACTTTAAAATGCTTTTTTATAATTTAGATGAAAGCTGTGATCCCTGGAAGTTCTACTGTCCTGTCGGTATCTGTATACCATGGAATTCGACTTGCAATGGAATTTCGGATTGTCCGAGTGGAGCGGACGAACCAAGCATTTGTGGCAACACTTCTAGAGGTATGTGAAAATCTATTTCTTTGGTAAATAAATCCTGCCGCAAACAAGAGAAACTTGCTGAGCTAACCGCCTCGTGTGGCGGCTAGCTCATCTATGCATTTTCACCGCACACTGTGGGAAATCTACTGAACGGCAACATCGTTGATAAGATTTTTTGCATTACCCTCCACTGTCGCCATTTTGATCAAAGTCACGTGAAGAAACTATGGATTTGATTCTTATTCGCTAATTAATTGAAGCAGCTCAGCACTATAAGCGCAGCACTATCAGCAGACGTTGGGATCCTTTCCTCGCGAGGTGAAAACCATCAAACACGATATGGAGCCTCGAGAGGTTAAATCCTCACGAAAACTATCCGCATACGAGTGAAACATGCTGAGCTATAGCCGCCATGCGAGGCGGTTAGCTTAGCAAATTTCTCTCCTGTGCAGCAGGCTGAAAGTAGAGACCTTACGATTTTAGGACGGCAACACGACGACGACGGCCAAAACAAACTCCTTCAAATAAATGGTAGTAAAGATAATTCATCGTACATTATCAATCGTATGAATTTAATAGTCTTAGAAGTTGATGACATGGGTTTTATGGTTGGGAAGAGTTCTTCTGAACCCAGTTTGAAATTGCACTTGTTGCGGCTTGAAATGCAGCCGTTGTACAAAGACGTGAAAATCTGTGATTTGGCGTTGTAAACAGAGCGAGGACAATGGTTGTTTACCATTTACATGGAATTTCCGGTGATTCCATACGGTAAGTAAATGGAACAAGCCTATTTCGACGGCGCAACCGGAAATTTTCCGGAATGAACGGTTTGTTTGAAAAGGTTGTCCTCTCTTACCGATTGGAAGGTTTAAACCGGTGAATTTTGTTCCATTTACATCTCTTTTATTTTTTCACCAGTTCCAGGCTCTTCGCAATTTAATTCAAACCGAATGGGTTTTCCATGTAAATGGTAAACAACCCTTCAGTGCCTTCCGGTCAGTCACTCTAAATGGAAAGCGCATAATCCGAATGGGATTTTCTATCCAAAATTTTGCTTACCATTAGCACAATTTCAAACCGGATGGGTTTTCCATGTAAATGGTAAAAAAAACAACGACTAAATTATTCTTATATTGTAATTACTCAATTCTTTTCAATGATTTATTGTATTGGTAGCCGTTGCCGTCCCGTTGCCGTCGTAAATCGTAAGGTCTCTATTCTGCTTCAAACGAGGTCATGAAGTCACTAGAGTTGGCAATTGCGCGATCTTGGTTAGCTGTTCTTAATGCCTTCCCAACACTATTGTGTATTTATTTTAGTTAAACCAGATAGTTGCATGGAACACTCGTCAAACTTTATTTTATTAATCTAGAACTTTTATCTTATCCGGGGCTTACGCTAAGCAATATAGCCATCCAAGTAAACCTGCATGTAGTAAACGGTTTAATTTGAAGAGTGTTTACTTTATTAGATTGGAAGCATTTTCATAAGTTTTTAAAGTTTTACATCAACAACAAGTAAAAAATAATAACATAAATTTCCCCTTGTTTTTCTAGCAAACGAAACCTGTAGTCTAAATGATCCTGGTTGCTTGAGTAATTTAATAAATGGAACATTTTGTGAAGATAATATTGATGGTAAGGCGGATGTCTTCCATGCTTAATTATACTGTTTATAATAAAACCCCGCACATTTATTTATTTGCTTGTGTGCCTGGCAAATAATTAAATTATTCCTTGCAAAGCCTTGTTCCTTGGCAAGATAATGCTAAGTCGTGTTTACACTACAAGCCCTGCATGGCAAGGCCAGTCCAAGGTAAATGTGGCGCGTTTACACCATTACAATATTTTTTGAGACTGTCTCACTTTGCGTAGAATTTTGTAATTAACTTCGTGTATTTTTATGCGTTGTGACGTTGTACTGTCCGCTAATCTCGCACTGTGGACACACGTAGCCTGCGTAACGGCTCTACTTTCTCTGAGCCGTTACGCAGGCTAGACACACGTTGCCATGAAAATAAGGTCCAGGCCAGGGCCGAAAGTATTTACATTTCCACAAGTCTAGGCCACCGGTTGTAGTATGCCCAGATTTCCTGGCCTAGTCAGGCCAAGGCTAGGCCAAAGTCTGTTTACACCATCAAAATGTAGGCCAAAGGCAGGCCAAGGCTGGTAGTGTAAACATGACTCTAGTTTAGGCGATTCTAGGCAAATTTAAATTGAGTGAAAATCTCATTTTAAAACAATGCGAGTTAATATTGTATACTAATGTGGGATTATTTGAGATATGTCTGCGTGTGTCCACACCGAGAAATCTGAAAAGTTTGCTTGACCACGGTGGGAATCGAACACAAGACCCTTGGTTTACTAGTCCAATGCTGTAACTGAACCACAAAGTCAAGTCGGGTCCCTGGTTATTTATCCACTTAAAGGGGCAGTGTCACGAGGCTGATTGGCTAAAATATAAATGGCGAAAGAAACGTTCAAAATTAATGCTACATGATTGGAAAAGATGTGGCAGCCTTCAATTTTTAAAACAAAGAAAGAATGTCCTGCATAATTACGAAGGGATTATAAATAGTTTATCGTATTTCACTCCTAACTCGATTAATTGTTGGCAGACAGTTTTTCAAGTTCGCGAGTATATTTTGGATGCGCAGTAGAACCGTGACACTGCCCCTTTAACATAGCTTGGTAAATATTACCACGACGTTCTGGTCAAATGGTTACATTTACCACTTACCAGACCGTATATGGTAGGAAGGAAGATAAAATAACCAGGACATTTGATCAGAGATAGAATATTAAGTTAATTTAACCAAAATATAGTTTAACCACCAAAGTGTTTTTAGAGTGTATTCAGCCACCTTGAATTGATGCATGATCTAAATAACCTGGATGATTCAAAGTCGACGTTTGCAAGAGCCTCACTTGCCTATACGATTGAGATCCTGCTTAGTATTTCTTGTTGGTGAGAGGTTTGTGTTTTAAGTTTCGAAGAGCTTTTTAGAAATTACATTTCTACTTCAGGCAGCTGTGATTTTGAACAAGATGGTTTCTGTGAATGGCGACAGGTTCATGATGGACATGATGATTTTGATTGGTCAATTAATAGTGGTGAAACTTCCTCCAAACAAACTGGGCCTAGAGCTGATCATACTATAAAATCCAAACAAGGTAGTATTCTAGTATTACGTTCTTTAAGAACGTTTATATTAATGATCATTTTAGTAAATTTTATTCGATTCTAATTGGTTAATCAGAACAGTTATGCGATTTGTAAAAGTATAGGTAAAAGTATAATTTGAAAGACATATTTGAAAATCATGCACAAGTAATTAAGTTTTTAAAAGACGATCAAGTTTTTGCGCGAGTCCCAAGAACGTTGTCTTTGATTCACAGTATCATGTACGAAATTACAACATGGTAATTCTGATGAAAAGTTTTAAAAATATCTATTTCTTCTAAACTCAAAATTTGAGTAAAATAATCGATGATATTTTGGTTTAACGGTTATATTTAGATTTTTAAAAACAATCAGACTATTTATAAAGACAGCTCGTATCGCGAATTTGTAACCACACCAAAATACAGTATCATAGGCAACTAATATGTGTTTTTTTTCGTATTTATTCTTTCAACCCTAAAAAAATATTATACTAGTTTTAATGAGTGAGTGGAAGCCAACTGCCGTTTTGTATCATAAATACTTTTTTTCACTTCGTTACAAGGAGCCCCTTATAAGCACAGCTCTGTCCCACTGAAGGTGTTAATCTATCTCTGCAAATGCCGTTCCCAGGTTCGTACATCTATATCGAAGCAAGTTCTCCAAGAGTTAAAGGTGATAAAGCAATCATTGAAGCTGGGCCGTTCAATGCTGATCAAAATTTCTGCTTTACATTCTATTATCATATGTTTGGTGTGCATATTGGTCGCCTGAATGTTTATCAAGCCTGGTCGAACAGGACGAATATAGAACTTCTTTGGACCAGAAACACATCAGGCGATGTTCGTCAATGGAAAACTTCCTCGCTCGATATTAGATCTGGGAGGAATTTTTACGTGAGTATGACAGGCGGGTGAAAAGGTTGTTTTTATTCAGACAGACACTTTGCGAAATAGTAGGGGGTGCGTTTGTTTTAACTTCTTACTATGGAAATGGAAATAATATGGAAATCCAACTCCACAATCATACAAATATGATTTCAATAGTTGGAATTTCACTATATTAAATTTTGTTGCCTTTTTGTTGCTGAAAATTTTGGTCTCCAATTCTTTTTTGGTTCCAATTTAATGAAAGGGATAGATTACTGAAATTTAATTTTATTATAAAAGTTAACGATAAAAGTTTATTTTAACTTATTTATTAAAAGCTGCAACAACCCATGTACTGCAAGAGAAAAGAGTTTGGATTTAATAGAGTCCGAATGTCCATGCATTTATACGTTCTAATCAGTGTTGTGAAAATTACCACAAAATAGTAATGGGTGAAAATTACAATTACTCCTCTGAAAAGTAATTCTTTTAAAAGCAGTTAATTATAAAATTACTAATAATTGACTACTGATTAATTACTTTTCAGATTACTTTCTTTTTATGCGCAATATAATAAGATTGAAGAAATTACAATGCGGAAATTGGAAAGCGGGTTGTTCTTTTATTTTAAGAAATAATTTTAAATTTTGTTCAAGTTTATTGTATGTCATATATTGTATCAGTCTTATATGTTATTGTATTATGTAAATGCTGACGAGTTTTTACAGTGTTTAAAGGGTTAATGTCAGGGTCATGCATTGCGGGCTTTTGTTATTGTTTACATTTTACTCAAATACAACAAATAGCGATAAAATTACCTTGTTTGGTACATTTCTGATAAAAATCACACAAAAAGAGCAAGGATTATAAAAGGATGGTTTAAATATATGACGGATTGTAAACACTTTCCAAATCATCTTTTCTATTCGTTCCGAAAAATGGCCGCTAGCAGGAGTTTGAGCCCGTGAATTCCTGGTGTGACACTAATCCTTTAAATAAAATCAATTATCGTCATCATTTCGAAAACAACAACCCTCGTTAATCTAACTCATACTTTTGTTTGACTGGGGATTGATTTTACTTAGTAATCCCTCACTTTACAGCGTAGAGCAATAACGCCTCATAAGCCTATAATAACAAAATTGTGGGTCTATATATTTTCAGTTAATGATCGAGGCAGTTTGTGGTGAAGGGGCAGAGGGTGATATTGCTGTTGATGATTTTTCTATGATTGATAAAAATTGTTCTGAAGTTCAAAATGGTAACTACTATAAATTTTAAAGTTTAATCGACTTTTTTTTACACCATAGAATACCCAGCCATTTAAACAACGCGGCTGCGTGGTATATGGCTACAATAACAATCAATCGTTGTATATAGGTACACACGTAAAAGCGCGCAAGTTGTTACGAATCTGCAAGCAAGTTGTAACAATTATGTTCTTGTCAAGCCGATACCAGGAAGTGTTCGCACTCCTTGTTCCCAATTGTTGTGACAAGTCTTGAACAAGTTGTTATCATCTTGTTACAAGGTTAATGCAACAGACTTTGAACAAGTTGTTCCAACAAGACTAATGCAGGCTGTTCGTAACAAGTTTGTCCCAGCTTGCTGTCATCAACTTGTTACGTCACGTAACTTACGTGCGGACGATATCAGACTTGTTGGAACATCTTGTTGCGGTCTGTTATTTATTATTTATTAACTTTACAACCATACATAAAATAGATTAAACCACTACATAAAATGGTTGAAGGTATGGTCAACAGGACATGAATAGCCCCATGTAAAGACCAACCTTAATGAAAACAAACTATAGCAAACATAAATCAAAGACGAGAACAAATATAAAATTTACAGAAAACATGACGAATTACGAACAACAACTTAAGTTGAAAGAGCGGCACTTAGAACAGAAGGTTTTCCAAGTGCGCATTCTGTTTACATCGAAAGATGTTCACCCTCGCCAACCTTCTTACCAAAATGATAGCAACTTTTTCCAGACTTGTCAAAAACTGTGCAAACAAAAATGCGAACACATCTTGTTGACAAGAGAAATCGAGAGCATTCAACGCAGAGCCCTATAGGTGCGTGTTGTTATCTTCCCAGAGCTCAAGTATGAAGATGCAATTGACCGTCATGGCGTGGTGTCGTTATTTCTGCGAAGAAAAGCCATTGTGAGAGATCCTTTGGAGCCGAATGCGTGCAGATACATTCCCTAGTTTCTTCCATACACAAAACGAGATATTCCCTACAGAACAACAACACTATTTTAATACCTAAGCTATAAGACAAATAGACTTGCTAGCAGTGTTATTATAGCCGGTAGCAAAGCCTATAACGCCAGTATCTATTAACCTAAGTGTACTTTTTTATAGTGTTGTATACACGAGCTGACACCTGTCTAGTTGATTAGGATTGCAAATTTGCAAGCTTGACACCCGTGAATCGCGTTACGAACCGTACGGATAATGCGATCTGTACCAAGTTCCGGCTACTGTTTCGTATTTACTGAAGCAAAATCGGGAAGTATTGATAACTCTCTCGTTTGTTCTAGATAATTCGCCATTTTCTTCCTTTGAAAAGCCTTCTGCTTGGAAAAAGACTCCCAGAGTTTGGTCCAGAATACTTGTGAACAACAGGAACCGATTCATGCTGCAAGGTAAGCTCTGAAATAGCACAGATGATCTGAATGGCGAGGTGAACAGTTCTGATTTAAAAATCCATCGCCACAGCTAGAACGAGCATGTTAAAATTAGTAAAATTGCAAAATTTGACCGCGAAATGTTGTTAATTGCGGAAAATATAGCCCCACGAAATTTGCAAATTTTGTATTAATTTGTATTACGCGCGGGAAAATGCACCACAAGTGTGATGCATTTTCCCGCGCGTAATACAAATTATTAATACAAAATTTGCAAGGGCTATATATTTTCCTCCTTTTACAACATTTCGCAACCAAACTTTGCAATTTTACTAATTTTTACATGCTCTTTCTAGCTGTGGTGATGGATTTTGTTCTTCCCTAGATCAAAATGTAGTCTACATAGCTGGAATTATCCATTCGAAGTGCCGCAGTCTGCGTCGGATATTATGGGAAGGATATTCACGTCAACGATTCGCGCTTTCGGTTTTAGCGTGCATACAGCTATTTCAATTAAGGTTGTCCACGAGCAAAGCGGAAAAGTTGAATACCAGTGCGAAAGGCTGCTGGAATTGCTTTGAAAATTCATTAATTTGTTAACGATTCCCAGCAGCCTTTCGCGCTCGTATTCGACTTTTCCGCTTTGCTCGGTGGACAACCTTAATTGAAATAGCTGTATGCGACAACAAAGTTAAAATGACCAAAACACAATTAAAACAATTTTTTAGCTCCCGTAATAGTTGTAAAAGAGTTTGTGAACAAAACCGTATTTACAAGCTTTTAGTAACTTTCTTCGTTAGAAATAACTTTAAAGAATACCTCTACACATTGTTAAACAAAACTTTTTGCCTTTCTTTGTATTTGGCGAAACGGCAGCTTCGTTTAGTATAAAAGTTTCCTCGTCTGTAACCGGGACGAAACGGGAAGCCGTTTTGTTTTTGTCCGGAGGTGAATAGTGCATGCAAGATGTCTGGAGTTGACCAACCAACGAAATTACGTGAAAGGCGCTATCTACCTTCTGAGTATATGTTAATCGTTGTTGTTGGCAAATAAATATTTTTCTTCGAGAGAGGGCATATTTAGAAGGGAAGGACTAAATTCATATTAGTCATGTCGGACAACAGTCTTTTCTACGATTCTATAGACTTCTATCTGAAAACGAGGTTATCAGGAAAACTTGAAATTACTTTATCTGAAGAGCTGACGGCATTATATCAATGTATGACGTTCTGGTACAAGTATATATACGTCAGTGGTATGTCATTCAAATCCAGACAAGCACTTGATGGGAACCGAATTGAACTGTCGCACAGTCTCAAGGGAACTAGTGGAGAGTGGGTGTTCGGGGAGATGCCGCTTCAGAGACGGTATATGAAATCCAAGGTATTGAATCACGCAATTTAAAAGCACTCATGCAAGTTTCTGGTCAACGTAGAAGTAACACTATTTGGAATTTGGCAAAGTAATTTGAGCATTTGCCTGCGGTTGGTCTGCGATCTGTTGTTGTATTAGCTAATAATAGCTATCGTCGCTGTTAGAAAACCAAAAACTTGTCATAGAAATTTGTGGTACGTACACATGTGCGACATACCACATGAAGTAATAACATATTAATTTAGGTCTTGTTACATTAAAATTCATGAATTCAAGATGAAATTGAGTTTTTTCAACAATTTTTTACCGAATTCTCAAAATGCGTAAAATGTGCAAAAATGCGATTTCGAAGGTCTGTAAAATGATAAATCAGAGGATATATGAATTTGGATAAACTACTGCTATACATGATGTATATAATTAATCATTTTTTCTTTGTCTTCAGCTCTTCTTCATAGTTGTTTGTCCTCGAAAAAACTGTTTTAATCGTCTGCGTTACCTTGCTATTGACGAAATTAATTTCTCTGCAGAATCGTGCCTCAGTTTTCAACAAGGTAAGTGGCATGGACTACTGTAATGCTTAGTAACATCTAAAGGCTCTGTTTCACTCATGCACTGAAAAACCAACTCGCATGTTTGCTGCGAGTTTTTACATCTAATTACAGTAAACTGTCGAGCCTTGAAAGCACTAGCATCGAGATTGCGAGTTCACTGATGCGATGAATGGAAAGAGGTTATTAAATACATCTCAGTATCTATCTCGGTGAACTAAGTGTTGAATCATGAAAAATTTGTTAAATCATTACTTGTGTTTCACTTAGAGAATATAACTGTTATTAAATAATATTTGCACTAACATATTTTATCTTGTGTACCTATAAAGCAAAATAAAGAAAGGTCTTCTAATTTATTGGTCGTTCGGAGCAACTTTTTGCATACTCCAATTGATGATGATGATCATTATTATTTAAGCTCATTTACTTATGGTAGCCTTTCAGGTGTTTGTGCCGTGCACACTTACTATAAATTGTTATAAAAATATTAAAATTATTAACTAAAAAATAATCATGCATAATATACACTATTTACATAAATGTATGGTTAGACATGATCGACCTCCAAGTTCAAATACACAAACCATCGATTGACTAGTCTCTTGAAAGAATTGATAGAAGTTTGAGGTTTTTTATTATTGGACGTTTTTCCATTAAAATTTGGTTCCATGAAACAGTTCAATACTTTCATGTGCATATTCTAATTGTTTTGACCCAAAATATTAGAAGACATTCGCCAAAGTCAGTGATTGACGGTAATTAGACGAATTGTTCTAATTTTCTTGAGAAATTTTAAATTATAAATATTTTTGTCATGTGATTGTGCTATGGGAATCTGTTCTGATCATGATGAACTGAAAATTTTTTGGTTTGAGTGTAAAGTTACGTTTTAATCAAGACTTCGAATTCGAACTGTATTGAATTTCAAGTCCAAAACGGCTAACCGTTACTCGACTTTGCATCCGTCCACAATTGTATAAATTAATAGTAATTGGATTCTCTTTTTCTACTTCAGGTGGTGTTTCCTGGATCAGAAAATCTTCAAGGTTTTACAAATCGTTGACAAAACGTAACAGAGATGGCAGGATTACGGCTTTTTATACACCACAATTTTCCTCGAATGATAGAAAAATCACGAATGATTTGGATTTACCTCAATATTCACCCAGCTTTATTAAAACTATTAAACCTGGCCGTGTGAACTACATTGTTGAAGACAGTTCTTCGTTAGAATACTCGAATATTAGTGTGGGGAACAGAGTATTTGTACAGGAAGGCGTAAATATTGCAGCTCTAGGAATCGTGATTGCAAAGGAAATCGCTAAGGACAATTACGACTATAAATTGACTGTTCGTCTTGATTCCAATAACTCAGAAATTGTGCTTGAGAATCAAAATGTTTGGCTTCTTCCATATCAATTGGATCAACATGGTAAGTAAGCATGAATATGGATGGATCCCAGCCAAATCTGGTAGGGGACGCGGGGGTGCCCATCGCGAGCTTTATTAATAGTCCAGTGTGCAATCGTTTACTATAAGTACTGCACGTAATCACTAGAGGGAACTACGGCAGCAAAGCACTTGACAATTTCGCAATCATGTTGCTATCTCATTTTGCCTCTATTTTATTCATGTTTTTCTTTATATATGCCTTAGAAAATCAAAGAAATGGATTTGATAAAGAAATTATCACATACCTCCCTTGCACTCCATTTTGCAAAAGCTGAATAGGAGTAATATTGGTGTGCACCACTCTACACCAAACACCAAATTTCTAATAAATCAAGTACTTTGCCGGCTATATATATCTTAAAATAATTTGGTAATTCGCCTCATTAATATACGGATCTACAGTATGCGCATGTTCAGTTACGATGAGCCGTAGCTCATTTTGGGTGTCAATTTGTGGCTGTAATTTCCAACTGTGGCATGTGGAATTAATGCTCACCCAAACCACCGCTGGTTCTCTGTTTATTCTGGCCTCGGCTTGCAAAATAACCCTAAAGATATAATTCATTTTTTAAGCGACAGTTCTTTCTTGTAAACATTAGGTCTCGAGGTAAAACATTTAGAACTGATTAAGCTATCCAGAATTAACTCACCACTATCGTAAATATATTTTTACCTAGGACCCGCATGGTCTACATGGCTGTCGTCATCCCGAAAGTGCAAACAAATCAACTACAATGGTGCTTGTTATTTGACATTTAAACAACGAAATTGGTTTGACGGCGCTGACATTTGCAAGATTTATGGAAGTGAGCTGGCCAGATTTGATTCTGAACTGGAAGAGAAATATGTCAAAAATAAATTTGCTAAATTTCTACCATTCTGGATTGGTTACCACGGGCACAGGCACGAGGGGACGAAGTTCGCATGGAGTGATGGTAGTAAAGATCTATATAATAAACTGGATGGCGGGAATTTGAACAAAGGATTTTCCGCTGGTTTATGTACAGCAGTCGCAAACTCTACGATGTGGGAAAGACGTAACTGTAGTGAGAGATTAAATGTTCTTTGCCGTCGACCTGGTAAGCTTACCTGATCTTTTACGCTCTTAAACTTGAACTAATTTTTACTATTTAAAACACGAGAAGGAGTGCTTTATCAGATATAAAACATGACGCGACAACCGATGGCTTAAAAAGCGACCCATTTTATGAGTTCATTCGCGAAGTAATTTTAAAAATGAACGTTGTCTAAGGGCCTGTTCATATGGGGAAAAGTTATCCCGATTAGCGAGAAAACATTTCGACAAGTTTACAGGCGAGATCTCGCCTTGTTACAAAAATAATATGAAAAGTTACACTGTGTTCATATGAGACGAAAACGGTTTTCCCGTGTACCGAGATCTCGCTTGTTGACAGGCGAGATCTCGGTGACCGGGATAATGTTTTACCCATATGCATGAGCACAACATAGCCACAACTTTCCCGCTTAGCGGGAAAACTTTCTTACAAATCCTTGCGCGTCACACCAGTGTTACGTGCGTCACAAGCCGGAATCTTTACCCGGTAAGCGGGATAACGTTTCTCCATATGAACAGAACAAAATTATTTGGCCAATGTTTTCTCGTTAATTAACCGGGATAACTTTTCCCCATATGAAAAGGCCCTAAGCCGAGAAAATCAAAGCTAAAGTTTATATGTAAATTGACATGATTGATTATATATAAAACGACCGACACGGTAGTGATTCCAGTGTGTTTCCTCATCAATTGTTAGCCCATTGTTACATTATCGTTTAATGATTGGATATAAAGCTTAAACCAGAAAGCCACTTTTTTCTGAAATGAAATTTCGTTTCAAAAATTTTCATTGATTGTGGTCAATAAAAGAAGCAGAAATTTTGAAACAAACGAAAACAATGGAACAAAACAAAGCACCAAGTTAAAAAATAGAAAAACATCAAAAGCTACTAAACACAATCCGAACGTAAGCAAAGAAGAAAAAACAAGCAAACGATAACAAAAAAAAAACCCAAACCAAACCAAACCAAAGAAAAACAACCAAATAGCACAAAAAGAAGCAAAACCAGAAACAAAAACAAAAACAAACAAACTCACAAACACACAAAACCGACAAGACAAACCTAGCCTAGCCTAAACCATGAGTCAAACAGAATTGGAAAACAAAAAAAAACACAAAAAAAAACGAAAGCCTTAACTGATCAAAGCCTATTCGAATCTAATTACGTTCAGCCTGTGTTTAAAATTTTCAGTGTATTCAAACCTTCATATTTAACTTTTAACATTTTTAGACAAGCGTGATCATATAATTTGTGAAGATCAGGGAAGCCAAATCTTAAACTGCTCAGGTCTTGATGCGGTTATTGACATAGTTCGCGCTCAAATTAAACCAACGACAACTAGTATAGATGTCTGCCCAACATTGACAGCAACCAAGCAAACATTTGGCAAGCCATCTTCCTGTAAATTCAACACTAATGTTTTCAAACAAGTAAAATCTAAATGTGGGGGAAAGGTTTGGTGTAGTTTATCAGTAAAATCAGTACATGATGGTCGATGTCCTGAAGAAAGCAAATATCTGATCATTTCATATAAATGTATTCAAAGATCAAATGGCATTAACGCAGGTTAGTTGCATTGCTTATCAAATCAGTATGAATTAATAATTTATACACCCTAGCACCATTACCACAGTAGCATTGCTTTTATAACATGGTAATAGATTATAGATCACCTTTAAATTCGTTTCAATTTCACATCTTTTGATCTCACGCGGAGAATAGACCTAGACTGCGAGCGGTCCCTCAGGGGAATTGAGGGACTGCTGACAATGCATCAAGAAACAAAATAAGCATTCGCCACACAACACAAGATTCACATTGGTCGAAATCAATATGCCATGCACTCAAACAAATCTGATGCATAATAATTATGCTATAAGTAAGTTCCAGATGTTGATTTTATAAACAAATTGACATTGCTAAACTGAGCCTAATCTAATTGGACAGATTATTCTAATTGGATATAACTTATTTTCATCCAAAGATGACCACTTGACAAGTAGGAAAAGTTGGCATATTGATGTGTTGTCATCAGTACTTCATTTCCTTCTCTTTCCTTTCCTTTCCTTTCCTTTCACACGCCTGGGAATCTCGGGAATCTAAACCCGCGCAAAGGAGGAACCCGCTAGCACTCTAGAGTATATAGATCTTTCCCAAGACAGCTTCACAGCCTCTTCTCGTTTCACTCTTCGCCAGTCTTCGCGCGGTTATATATCGAGAGCCATGATCTATTAGAGGACAGCCGCACGGAATTGCGTCACACAAAACCTTATCCAATAGCATTCTCTTGTTTGTATAGATGATGTACGCGTGATATTTGTAAAATTTCTACTTTTTCTTGGATAAAAAGTGACCTGTTTACCTGTTTAATTTGGGGGTTTTCTTTTTATTATATAGAACAAACAGATAAGATTTTGCCGTTGTCGGCTGTTCAGTAGAGAGTTTGGCAAATGCAAGGTCAACGGCAACGGCAATATTGTCATCAACAATAGCATTAATCCTTAAAGACAAAGACGAATGTAAATTGCATGGTCTTAATTAAGTGTGGTGCAATGCTGTAGTTGTTGAAACTATAGTACGTGATTTGCATCATTTTCACGGTGCATGACTACGGCAACAGTTAATTCATTCGATGTAATTAATTTGAGGTGTTTTATTTGAATTCGCGGACTATTTTTCCTTAAGGGTACGCTTGAAAGAAACAGGAATACTTAAAGAGGCAAATTAAGTGTAGTAACGTATACTTTGGCTCAAATACAACAATATAAGCAATTATATTTTCCCCGTTGTTGTTGCCGTTCTAGGTTGCCAAACTCTCTATTTACATAGATACACAGTATGACATCATAATGTAGGAAGGGCAAGAAAGTGACCCACTCGCCTGGGCGGTGGCTTGTGGGCCACTTTTTTGTTCTTCTCACATTATGACGTCATACTGTGTATCTATAACTGAACAGGCAACGGTAAAATCTTATCTATTTGTTAATTCTGTATGCTTCGTAACTATAAAGTATACCGGATCTCGGGGTATTTTATAGCCACGATTTTATAGCATTTGATTAGAGAGGAACCCTCGTTTTGTGTTCTTATGTGATATTGGCTTAATATGGCCAGTATATAATATGTCTTTTTTCGCCATGATAGCAATTTCATCTCGTCTATTCTAACTTTTATTTTTCCTTGCCATGCAGATACTTCAGAAACAAATGCTGTATTCTGTCCGAAATATTGGGTTAAATTCCGAACAAGCTGCTACAAGTCTTATCAGAATAAATTGAAATGGAAGGATGCTCAAGCATATTGCAAGCGAGTAAAAGGAGCAACACTGGTGTCGCTGGACGACAAAGAAGAAGAGGCTTATGTGAAAAATATAATGAAGTCAAATGGTGTTGACAAGTTTCATAAGTGGACTGGCACTTTGAGATCTCGGAAGTTTGCTTTCATGTGCGAGTACAGATTAGGTGAGATACAGGGCCTCATTAATTTTGAATCTACTGTAAGATATCTTTATTGGTTGTTTTGACCAATTTATTCTTACAGTGAAGGCACCACCAGAAAATATTTGTATTTCTGAGCCTCCGGGTCTTGATCCGGTTATTGGCACAACCTTTTGAATAATACATTCTTCTCAACTGAGTTATTCTTTGAGTGTTTCTGTGTTGGTGTAATGTACTCAGGTGAATATGATGCTTGTGATGTTACTCTGAGTGTATATCCACACCGGGCAAGCTTGAAAAATATGCCTGACCACGGTGGGAATCGAACCTACGACCTTTGGAATGCTAGCCCAATGCGAAGGAACTAGATTCTGTTCCGAAACATCACATACTCGAACCGACCAGACCGCGTAGTTCAGTTGGCAGAGCATTGGGTTAGCAGTCCAAAGGTCGTAGGTTCGATTCCCACCGTGGCCAGGCATATTTTTCAAGCTTGCCCGGTGTGGATATACACTCAGAGTAACATCATGAGTTATTCTTTTCTTTCTTTGCTTATATTTTGAAAAGAAGAAACCTTCGCTGCAAGGGCAATATGTAAATTTGTGCGTGTGCGATATACAATACAAATATGATAAGCTAAACTGCTACCGTATTTTGGCTTGATTTCTGAATTTCATATGTTAAAATTCTTATAATTTATTTCTTACAAAAGGTTAATTTGATTAATTAATTTCGCTACGTTTCGGACATTTTAAATGTCCGTCTTCATGAGGCGAACAGTTTTTTTTAATTAGAAAAGATTAAAATTATTATTTCAACATATTTTCACATTCGCTTTTTACCTCTGAAATGTTTCAGTTCTACACAAAATTTTAAATACGTGCATCCCAAAAGCGCGAGGTATAATTAAAAATAACTAAACAATTTGGATTCGCAGCGAATGCAAAGCTATCTGCTTTTTTAAATTTGATATTATCTATTTTAGGCAATGGTTCATGCGATTTTGAAGCTGGTTGGTGCGGTTGGCATGAAGATTCAACTAGTAATGACTCTCGTTGGCGTCGTACAATGGACGTAGAACCAGCCACTACTTTGGAATGGTCATGGTGGGGTGAGTTTGCGAAGCTTTGTCAAGCCCATTTGACCACGCAAACATTCTTGCGGTTTCACCTTCCGATTCGTCTTCTCAACACGAACATTTGAAGACGATATAAAAAGTGGAAAATTTTGGAAACGCGACAATACTGTTTTCTTGTGAAACTCATTAATAATTCATGAAGATTTATTTCAAACTGTTGAAGAATACGAATGTTCTCATTCGCGTCTGTGTTGTATCAGACATACAACCTCTCGCCTTCGGCTCGAATTTGTAGGTCTGATACAACACAGCCGCTCATGTTTATCTTTAACACAGCCGCTCATTATTTACTTGTGAACGCATGCATGAAACTTTTTCTTGCTATTAATTAACTCATGCGATTAATTATTTATTAATATAAAATAATTATGAAAAGTTATCAATGTTCTGGTCAAAATATTTTGCGTAAATGGTGTTTATAAGAATTACAAGAAAAGCTTGTCTTCATTAAATCCCCGAGCCAACGGCGCCTTTCCGGGCGTATTTGTACTTGCAAATTAAATTAAATTACTGTATCTGAATAAAACTGTAGTGCTTAATAAAAATTTATTTTAAAACTAAGACTTCGTCAATTGTTCTTGAATTCTAGGTATCATCAAAAGTTATGTTCGTTCTTCATCTAACGGAGTTATTATCTATGTATTTGACGGAAAGCCTATGGAAGAAGTAACTATGACAGCTGATAGACCAAAAAACATAGAAAAGGTTACATTATGTCAGTGGATATATATTGGTGCTAACATGAGTGAGGCGACTGTGGTTTCATTCGGTGAAAAACTGCTGCTGAAGATCTATTATGGAAATGAATATAAATTTATTGTGAATTTTTATGACTGGAATAGGTAGGTCGTATTTCATAGCTCAAGGTACATTCCGCAGAGCAGGGAAGACGCGAGTCTGCGCCCTTTTAAAACCCACGTAGGTCATTTTAGTTCCGAATTTATCAAGAACAATAACGGCAATTCTATAGATCTCAAGTGTACATCTCTTGCTAAAGTTGCTGTATTAACATTGTCAGAAGGTCCCGAAGGAGGGGGCGGCTTAATTCCATTTCCCAGTTCAAGGTATTTCATCAGGAAAAACAATTCTGCATTCATTTGATCTCTTTAGAACTAGGTTTTTCGAGAAAAAGGTTCGAAGTCTATTAATTAAATGCCAGCCAATTTCTACAAATAAAGAGACTTAGTACAGCATGCAATATATTTACATGATGGACCAAGCCTGATATGTATATAAGTAAGTCACTAACTCGTAACAGCTGAAAATGATCTCATCGTGCCGGAAATGGCAGAACGCAGTCCCGAACTTTTTAGACAAATTTTTAATCAAGAATTGCTCCGTAGCATAATTCAACTCCAGGGAGTTATTTTAGTTGGAGTTAAGAACTATTTGACTGCGAGCGTTTTAAATGCCTTTCAAAAATGGCTCATCTTATGAGTTCATTGATGAAGTAATTTTAAAAATCAACGTTGACTAAGCCGAAGAAATCAATGTTAATATTCATGTCAATTAACATATTTTTTATCACATATACAACTACCGACATGGTGTATGTAGTGATTTTCTTTGTTGTGTCCTCGTGAATTATTAATGAGTTTTTTATCCTTGAAATTAACAGTCAAGGCTAACTTGTATTATAATAACTATATACTGACAGCTTAACGGTCTATGTTTGTCTATTTATTTTAGTACGACAAAAGCGTCAGTTTCATTTGAAACTTGGCAACATCTATGCTTCAGTATTGATACTCAAACAAAGTTATGGATGTTCTATAAAGATGGGTTGATGACTGACATTGGTGTAGCAAGTGTATCTCCATTTTCTTCAGATGCTCGTAGTGTTGATGACAATGTCATATATTTAGGTCGATCTTCAAGCAAGGTAAGTTCAAGGACGTCAGAGTAAGTTTGTGGCCAGTTTAGGCGAGTAGGCCTACCCGAAATCACATACATTACTCTATATACTACCTATATACTCATTTGCATATATCACGTTGAAATATGGCTTCAACTGTAAACATCATTATTAATGTATATCGCAATGTTATAAATCGCTAAATTTGAAAATAAGGTATAGATCGACCTTTGCGACTTGTCCAAAAAATATCGAATATTGGCCCACGTGAAAAAGGCTCTTGTTTCGTAAAAAAAGCCTTTTCCACGTGGGCCAATATTCGCTATTTTTAGGGGTACAGTTTTCCCACGTCGGAGAATCTAGACAGTCCGAACAGTGTGAAAAGCGACTTTTCAAAGTTGTATCTGTAAATTTACCATTACACACACAACTATGGTGATAAAAATTCAGACGTGGGAGAACAATATCCCTAAAATGGCGGATAACCGGAGTGTATTTAGTGCAATATTGGCTTGATTTAAGTTAATGCTCATCCTGTTTCTTGCGATATTTGTACAAAGATTGGGTGTGGTTGAGTTTGTGGAAGCGGACGCATCCATTTACAATCCTGTAGCAAGTCTTCCGCGTGTCGTTTACTCGTTTATAGAAATACGTGTAATCCAGTATTTTTTTCTTAACAGGCCAGCTGTTCATGGAAAACTGACTGCAATAAAATGTTTCGAGGAAAAATGACGAAACCTGAAATATGGGCAAAAATGCTTGAATTCCGTGAAATTTCTATCCTTGCTACTGGGTGTGGTATGGAGACCTCCCCTGATATAGCTGTTGAACAAACTAAGCTGGCGATCCTGGAAAGACGATCATTTGAACATGGGCAATGCATTACCGGTAAAGGTAAGCATAGGGCACATACATTTCTTTAAAGTAGGAACCATCGTCAAAAAATGAAACATTTTAGTTAGGAAGCTAGATACTCATTTTCAAACCATAGTCAAATGAGGATCAGAGCTGATGAAAGTTGAGAAGGAAGAATTTGCATGAGAGTTTTCTCAACTCTTCTGCCCTGGGAAATTTTGTAAAACGAGAACAAGCGTTGCATGAGATTGATGAGAGTTGACTGGATGTTACCACGCGTATAGCAAAAACTCCCATGAGTGAGAGAGTTCTGCGTCGGTATATATTGCAGTTAAACTATAACATGCATAGAGAGTAGAAGATTTCGAATATGCATATCAAATAATTCAACTGTTCAGTCATCATTTTATATGCAAAAAGTTGTTCAAAGAAGAATTAGTTTCCACACTGATTCTCTTTAAATTACAAAATATATTTCCTTGAGTGTACTTTCTCATTTCGCTTTACAAAGAAGACAAAACATGGTAGTACAAAAATTATTTAATGACAGTTCTATTGTGGCTATAAGCGAAACACGAATATGGTTGACTGAAGGCATGTGCTAAAACCTGGACGATGGACTGGACGATGGACTGGACAATGGACGATGGACGTCCATCGTCCAGGTTTTATTGGACGATGGACAATTTTTATTTATAGCTACAGCCGTTTCAACAAATTCAGTCTCCAAATTCAGTCTCCGGCTATCACTTCGTCACTATACTATCAATTTGACACACCTTAATGACCTTACTTACTTACTTACTGAAATTGCGGTCCCCAAGTTTGGCACCGCATTATATTCTGCATGTGAGTTTGTCCGTTTGTTAGTGTGTTTGCATCAATACGTTTCCTTAATCGCCTAGTAAAAATTCCTTGCACGTGCTCGAAACAGTATACATTTTTGCGGGAAAATTAATTAATCTTGGATTCTCAGGACCGACTGTTTGCTGGGCTTTATCTCTGGTTTTATGCGCCAAACATGCCTTGACTGAAGGCTGAATACTCCAATGTTGTAAATACTCGGAACAATAGTAACGCGTTACTAATTACAAATTACTTGTGTGATGTTACTCTGAGTATACATCCACACCGGGCAGGCTTGAAAAATATGCCTGGCCACGGCGGGATTCGAACCTACGACCTTTGGAATACTAGCCCAATGCTCTTCCAACTGAGCTACGCGGTCAGGACGGTTCGAGTAAGCGATATTTCGTAGGTTCGAATCCCGCCGTGGCCAGGCATATTTTTCAAGCCTGCCCGGTGTGGATGTATACTCAGAGTAACATCACACAAACATCTTATTCACCTGAGTACATTACACCAACACAGCAGATTTCTTAAATATTAGATTACACTCAGGGCCTTTTTTAAGGATTTTCCCGTGGGGGGGCATTTTTTGAAAAGGGACCTTTCTGTGAGATAATATATTACAGGGAGATAGCAATGGCTGAAGACCACGTGTGCGCCGATCGAACATACCATGCACGCATGAATGAGGGGGGTGTACTCCCCTAGAAAATTTTTGAAATTTGAAGCACAGAAATGTCATTTCCTGCATTCTGAGCATCCAAATGCGCTCCAAAATGTATACTAACTATACTTGTATTTGAAATAAAAGAAGGAAAAAACCCACAAAAAGTACTGAAAAAAATATTAACCATAATTTATCATTACTTATTAGAGGACGATCCCAATGGTCACGTGTGTGGGGTTGTACTCCCCCAGAAAATTTTTGAAATTTGAAACACGGAAATGCCATTTCCTGCATTCTGGGCATCCAAATTTGCTCTAAAATTTATGCTAACTATACTTGTATTTGAAATAAAAGAAGGAAAAAATGCACAAAAAGTAAAAAAGAATATTAACCGTAATTTATCATTATACTTATTAGAGGGGGATACCAATGGCCGAAGGCCACGTGCGTGGGGGCATAATCTCCAGAAAATTTTTCAAATTCGAAACCTGGAAATGCTCTTTCCTGCATTCTGAGCAACCAAAAAATAAAAAATTATTAACAATAATTTATCATTACTTAGTGGTAGAAAAACGTAACAATTTAGATCGATTTTGTTAAACAAAGACAAAGAATAAAGCCTAAAACTTACTTTCCGTTTATTTATTTGATCTTATTTGTTATTCTTCGCTGGTTTGTTGGTATAAATTTTGAAAAGGGACTTTTCCTGGGGGGGCAAAATGTGATTTCGTGGGGGGGCACAAGGGGGGACTGGGGGGGGCAAATGCCCCCCCAGCTTGTATGTTAAAAAAGGCCCTGATTACACTGATATCGAAGGAACTAGACTCAGTTCCGAAATATCGCTTACTCGAACCGTCCTGACCGCGTGGCTCAGTTGGAAGAGCATTGGGCTAGTATTCCAAAGGTCGTAGGTTCGAATCCCGCCGTGGCCAGGCATATTTTTCAAGCCTGCCCGGTGTGGATGTATACTCAGAGTAACATCACACAAACATCTTATTCACCTGAGTACATTACACCAACACAGCAGATTTCTACAAATTACTTTTTGAGTAATTTTGATGGCAATTAATTACTTTCTTTACTGAAGTAATTTGTAAGTTAAACGTAATTAATTACATTTTGAAGGTAACGAGTAAAATTTTCTTAAAGTATAACGTCACGTTACTTTTCAATTTTACTTCAATCTCTCACAACATTCATGGCACATAATCTAAAAAGTAGTGAAACGTTTTTCTAGGCTACCAGCCTTAATAGACCTTAATACTACGAATACGCTGTTTACAAAATTGAAATATTTTTCAAATAAGCCTGCAATATATGAAATATGCGGCGTGAGCCTACACCATTACTTCATGTATTGATATGATTAATGTATTATGTCTATTTCAATTTCTCGCCAATTTTGCGCGAAATGATTTAAATACAAAAAATAAAATGAAAAGTAATTTTGAAATTAATTTGATAGTAATTAATTACTTTTTGAAAAGTAATTAGTACTTGGTAATTAATTACTTTTTCTAGTAAAGTAATTTGTAATCTATAATCAATTACTTTTTAGGAGAAGTAATTGTAATATCTACTCATTACTTTTTTTTCAGTAATTTTTACAACACTGGAATACTCTGATATAGGTTTTCTAGTCTTCCAGTCTCAGCTACGCGTCATTTGGATGCGCAGTGGAAAATCCGAATTGGCTTATAGGAGCGCATATAGTCGCAACAGTACATAGGCGTCATAGCCTATCGAAGGGAAGATGGCTGTGAAACTCACTAGAATAACAATATAACTCATTATCTATGTCAATCAACGTTTATTCATAAATCTGGTCCTTCACCGTCACGTGTGTATTGTATTTTTGCCCAACTAATCAATAGAAATGTTTTATGAAAGATACCTATCCGTGACTCGAACAAATTGGGAAATTTCTATTAGTCGATTTGGCAAAAATACAATACACACGTGACGGCGAAGGACCAGATTTATGAATAAACGTTGACTGGTGTATATAATAAGTTATATTGTTATTCTATAATGAGTTTCACAGCCGTCTTCCCTTCGACAGGCTATGGTCGCAACGATTATCTGTCTTATTCAACTACTAAACCTTCCCATATAGGATTCCGACTATCATCTGTTAAAACGTACAACTCATCTTTACCTTCCACATCGACGTTGACTTCTCCCTGGATGAAGGTTCCTTTGCATAGGGTTCGCGGCATGTGTATGAAGTTTACTTACCGCTTGTTGGGAAAAGATTCAGAACTTGATATCTCAGTTGAACCAAGGAACATGAACAAGGAACAAATCTGGTTGGTTAAAGATCCACAGTCAGATACAGTTTGGAAAACTGGACAAGTTTCGTTGGGGCTTTTGACGGAGTTTAGGGTACGTAAACCTTTATAAAACCTATATAATATAAAGACGCTTCGAACGCCAGTTCTCAATTTTCATGTTCTATTCTGAATACTTCACGAAAGCACAAGTTACAAATTGTAGTCGTTTTAGTTCAGTCGCTGTTTTAAATGGCGACTAATCTTAAAAATATGATTTTTGCTATGTGTAATATTTTTTGAATTTTTAAGAAGAAATGTATAATATATCTTATAGTCAAATTGTAGTCAAAAAAGATAAATAATCTTGGTGGACTCAGCTCTTTCACTATCAAAGTTGCCGGATATTGTTTGATTAGATGAATTAGAAATTACAATACCTTTGTGTTTGCAGCTAGAATTCACCTATAATGACATCACATCGGTATAAGATATCAGTGTAAAAGTTGATCAAGATAAACATTTTACTATAAAAGATATATTACATTTCTTCTTAAAATTACCCAAATGTTACACATATAGCCTACAGTAACAAACTGAAACGATATTTGGAGTTAGCCGCGCACTTTAAGCCTACTACCGAAGTCTGCGAGGTTAGAATATTATTATTTGTATGAGTAATCTTGCCTTGATTCAGTGGCGCCGTGGGTCCCATGTTTTTTGGGGGGCCAAGGGCAGTACTTTTCCGACAAACCAAAAATTTTTCCGACAAACCAAAAATTTTTCCGGACGACATTTTAAATCTTCTCCCCCCCCCCCCC